AATGTTCATTTTTGCATGAATTACTCCTTTAAATGAATAACTCACCTAAAAATATTTCTGTGTTACACAAAAGCAGAAATTTTGAAGATCTGATGTTTATGCATCTGTATGCGGTTAATGCATAATATCTGAACGCAAATGCGAATATGATACTTTTATGTTGCTTTAATAATAAAACCACAATGTTTCTTTATGCATTGCACTGAAAGATAGCAACACAAGGATTTTTAACGACATGAGGGTGAGTGAATAATGAAAAACATATCAGTTGCATGTAAGAAACGTGGTGTCAATCACTATAGCTTTCCTTTCCGTAATAAATATTAAATACTAGGCCTACAAATAAAATAGCAATAATAACAATAACCGAACAATACATGAGTTTCTTTGGCTGATACAGTCATGAATGTAAACGGTGGGTTTCTCATTGCATGCGGTCCGTCTGCAGCTGCTGCGGTTGATACTGAGCGAATGCGGCCGCCGCGGATCCAGGTGACGCCAGAGGCTGCTGGACATAACCGTATCCGGTCGCAGCGGCCGGCGAGGCAGCGTACGGATACGGATCGCTGTACTGTGCGTACGCAGCAGCGGTGTAGTCCAGGTACGGAGACGCCGCGGCCGAGGGGTCGTGAGGGATCACCACGCTGGGCTGCACAAACGCCTGCGGATACACATAGTGAGCGGGAATCCTGAGGAACACAGAGATCACGAGATTCAAACAGAGAAACAGCGCAGTGCACTGCAGGGTTAGTAACCCTAACTAATCCTCACTCACATCCATAGGAGTGCCACAATAGAGCATGCTGGGAAGAGTCAATCAGAAGGTTCACAACTGCATTGCTGTTTTGAACAGGTTGTATTATTGAGTCACTGCAGATTCTAAAAAAAAAAAAAAAAAAATTGCTACAGGTGCTACTTATGACTGCTTTTGTGCTCCAGGGTCACATATTATTATAATATATTATAATATTATTAATATAATATACATATTACATTTTATTAATTATTTATTAATTAATTTAAGATGGTGTATCCACAGATTTCTATTTTATATTGATAATTTTAAAAAATATTTTGTTTTTTTAATTGAACTGAAACTTGAATTGAAATTAATTTGACTGAATATGCGAAGGTCGCAAATCTGTCTTGTAAACTTTTTACCTGTTTTCTTTTTTATGTAAATTTTATTGTATAAACCTTTTTTTTAATTCAACTGAAACTTGTATCGAATGTAATTGAATATATAAAGGTCTCAGTTAATCTGTCTTGTAAACTTTTTACCTGTTTTCATTTATTTTTTATTTAGATTTTATTGTTGAACTCTTTTAGGTTTTTTACTGTTATTTTCCTTTATTGTCCAGTGGAAATTTGTCTTTGGCTTCACAACACATTATAACAAGACCAATACACTTAAAGCACTTAACACAACAACTCTTAAAAAAATAGTTTTGTTTGAAATCTAAAAATTGTTTTAATTGAATTGAAACCTGAATTTAATTTAAATCAATTGAATTTAATATTGAATAGATTTTTTTATGAATTAAAAGTAAATAATTCTGGTTTGTTAAGGAGAAAACAGTGATAATTACATTTATACTTCAGCTAAGATATGAAATTTGAAGAAAACATAAAAATCAAGGTAAATATTACTTGAGAACAGAATATTTTAAACATGTCTAATCCATCGCATATTGTTTGCATAAGTAAAATTTAGCAAAAAGTGTTAAAATATTATTTAACTGTGTGGATTTAAGATAAATTTGCCTAAGTACGAGAAAATAGTTATTCCAAAATGTCCATTTCCAGCACAGAAGGGATGATTTAAGACACAGTATGTCCACTGTTAGACATCGTTAGACAAATGAAATTAACTAGAGTGAGTGAGTGTGCACTCACTGTGAACTGTTTAAGAGAATTTATGTTATCATGAACAAAGTGCCCATAGTTTTAGATTTCTGAATGATTCACGCAGACATTCATTCTGCTCATAATTCACGAATGAAGCCTAATTGGTGAATCACAGCTCACTAAATCAACGTCATCAGTCATTAATAGTGCTGTCGCTAACGAGAGCCCATCTTTAGCCTTTGAACTGATTCTTAACGAGGATTCAGATGAATGCTTTTGCATTATTGATATCATGGCAAACCTATTTCATTTGCAAACTCAGCATTCAATTATGAGTTCACGTCATATTATTGTCTAACCCCACACTCAAATAAAACAAAAGGCAATGAACATCAAAGCAGATCGATCAATATCACAGCAGAAAAAAAAACCTTCCAAAAAAAACACAAAAAAAAACAGAGCAGAGCTTTGACAGCAATTCTGCAATCAAAAACACCAAGCAATACACACACACACACACACACACACACTCACACACACACACACACTCACACACACACACACACACACACACACACACACACGCACACACACACACACACACACACACA